AAAAATTACTAACAGTGGGAACTGACAGATTTCTATCATTCTATCATAAAGCAGACATACTCTTGAAAGCAAATGAAAAAAAAAACGCAAACCAACCAACCCCACATTCCACTCCCCCCAGTTCTGAATTGTATTAAATGTGAAGTATGTTTTTAGCTAAGTCATCCATAAGGGAATCCTTCTCATGTGTAATCATTTTAATTTAGCTGCTGACATAAAGCATTTGGGAATCCCATGATATCAGAAAAAGCGTTGTAGCAAATAAAGTCTTGGCAGTAACTAGCTTAAAAAAATTATGTGGTCGCAGCTTTACAGTTGTAAGGATGCAGGTCATAACATAGAAAACTTTTGCTTTACCTAACTTATTGGTATAGACTTATACTTTGTATGTGAAAAAGACATTCATATGCCCAAAAGACGGCCAGCTTCTTCAGCTGTAAGAGTAGGTGCTATCTGTCCTTACTTTTGTATTATTTCCTTAATTCTGAAATGCAATTACAATACAACACCTCTTCAGTATTTTGCAGTACTATACATAATAATTCATTTCACTAATTTGCTAGTTTAACTTTGCCATTTCCTATTAGAATCATTGATTCCTTATCAACTTCAAAAACAGCGTTTGTATGAAATCTAATCTGTTCTGTTAGCATGACATCTTTTGAATGTGTACAGTGATTTCTCAGTGCACTATAATATAGTGAAAGAAGGGTAAAAAAAATATTTTCAGATAGCATTATTTTTTCTCAAAAGCAGACATAAGGAAAAAATGCTTAGGAGCTAGATACCATAAAAGTTAATGGGGGGGTCATGGATTAGAAACATTCATAGATACATTGTCTGCTACAAAGCATGAAGAAATAGTTGTGGTTTCCTCATCCCTGGAAGTGTTCAAGGCCAGCTTAGATGGGGCTTTGAGCAACCTGGTCTAGCGGAAGGTGTCCCTGCCCATGGCAGAAGGGTTGGAACTAGATGATTTTAATTTCCTTTCCAATTCAAACCATTCTATGATTCTGATTCTATGAAATAGTAGAGACCTTTAATGGTCCCATATGTTAGGAATTTTATTTTCCTGAAAAAAAAAAGATTTTTTAATTTTAAGAACCATATTTAAGAATCCATAAATAGTTTGAGGATAATTCTTGTAATGAGTATCATCACAGAAAGAGTGACTAAAATCCAAGTGAATAAATGCAAAACTAAACTCTTGAAGCATTTACAATTTCAATACAAACATGACAGTGCAAGAAAAAGAATTATACACCAATTTATACATGAAAAAGAGACTTGCACAGATTAAGCGAACTGTGGTCAGAAATGAAACCTTTGAAGCCTAACACCTTCACTACAAGACTGTCAGTTGCTAGAGGACATGATTACAGACATGAAAACTCAAGGCTGCAGGCTGAGATAACTGAACCTGACAGTGTGGATAAACTATGCAGTATCTTACCTATCTGTTTCTCCTGAGTTCAGATTAACACTGCAAGCATGAGCACAAACTCACTTCTTGGAAACTGAGAGTTTCCAAGAAAGCATTAGTCACCTTTGTAAGACAAACATTGATGTTTTCAAAAAGATACAAAAGAACCAGTGAAGTGTCATTAAGAAATGACGCAAAAAAATGCCAATATTTTTTTCCCCAATGAATCAGGATCATTTCCAAGAGGATATTGCAGTTTTAAAGCTGACTATATAGCCTTCCTCTATGTAAAATGACTGTGAGGAGAAAGGAAATATAACTGGAAGAGCCACAAATGGTGGCTTTTGTCTGAGATCTTTCAGAAAATTAATACAAGCTTCATGCATTAGCAAACAGTGTAAATATATAACAAGATATACCCAAAATGGAATTTTTAAAAGAAATACTTCATCTTCCTAGTTATAGCAAAAATAACAAGAACCATTACTAATACTGGCAATTCCTAGACTAAAGTAGTTACTGTCATACCCTAAGGATTTATATAATTATCATGCACCAACATTATAATCATACCCTAACAGAAACCTAAAAATCCCCTGTGAACACAGACGTGCACACATACACAAAATGCAAGCATCCTCCTCACAGGCATTAAGAGCAGTCCCTTGCAGAACAGACAGAGGAAGCTTGGGTCCCTCTGCTGTTGGATAGCTGCTCAGTTACCTGAGAGTTCCTGAGCTGCACCAGTGCAAGCCTCTGGAGGCAGGTGCAGTTCAGGAGCTCACAGAATTGCTCCTATTTACAATGCAAGGTGTATATACTTCAATTTAATAATATAGTTGCATTCTGCCACAACACAACATTTATGGCCACACTTTGGCTTTCTGAAAGACAGAAAAAACCCCTCTGGCAGATAAGTTATCTCATAACAAAATCAACTTAGAAGAGCGGCCCATGCATTTAACAAAGAAATTCCAAAGGCTGAACAGGTCTGCTTTCTTCAGCTTGCTTTCCAGAAAAGCTTTAATTAAAGATAAAAATAAGATGCACAATACCTTTAATAGCTTAGAAGATATTCACCTCACAATAGTACATCTTAAAAGAGCGCTTAAATTATATACTTCCAACTGTCATTTATCAAAATTCTGTCACTCTGTATCCTCAGAGGTTTATGCTTTTTTCTCTTCATGAAGTTTTACTGATAGGTTAAGAATACATGGTAAGTATGTTAGAAATCATGGTTATGAAGTACCACAGATCAGCTTCCTATTGAAAGTACCACAGCAACAAAACGCACATTTTGACAAAGAGGATTGTTAGAATGCTAAAGAAAAACAATGGCAAGTAGAACTTCCAAGAAAAGGGAGGATACTGACACCAGAGGTGAGCTGCTGTGAAATGGAGTGTGTGGCAGCAGAGGATCATCTCTATTTGCGACATGTCAGACTGTACAGAGGATGTGATTTTCTAGATTCACATATTCCTGGGAAGATATCTCAGTGATCGGAAACACAGCTGCACTAGTCACACAGGCCGCTTGACACAGCCTGAGAAGTAGACTCATTTAAATACTCCATGCCATGATTGCAGACTCTCACCAAGGTTGAAGAAATCAATGCAAATTCAAAATACCTTCTTCTCAAAACTACTATTCAAACTCAGATCATTTAGTTTACATAGTGATTTTAATTTTTTTTCCTTTGTAAACCGTACGCTTACTGATGAGTCTTATCAGATTTAACAACTGTATATAATTTGCTATGTAATGTAAATAACTAAAATAATGTAGGAATTGGTTAAATAAGTTTTAACAAGAATAAGAGTTGAAAGTATTTTTCTTTCTTACATATCACAAATTTGGAAATTTTGTATAACATTTTACACTTGAAAGTAACATCTAACAAAGGTTCAAGTGTCTGGAGAGACTGCAGATGACATAACTTTGCAAATGCTCATGTACACTGTTCTTGTGTGTCGCAGGGTACCTGTCGTGAGGCCTTGGTCCGGTGGGGGAAGAAAGACACACAAGACACACTAGGACGGTGAGACAAGAGATGTCTGCCTGCTTAGCGCAGCAGGCAGCCTTCATTGAGCATGCTAACTTCTACTTTCCCACACACAACATAAACATATTTTCACAAAGACATCCAGGAGTTCAAGCACCTGCACATTATCAAACAGTCTTAACCTTGTACTCCTTGCAACCCAAGGCCGTGTCCATGGAAACCATCTAACCAGCTCCACTGCTCCCATGGAACACGGCCTAACTTTTGCAATACCTCAAACTTCAATTGTGGGGCTACGACTTCACCCCACACTTGTGCATCATCATTGAGGCCTGCAATTTTTAAAGCCATTTTAGGGACTCAGAATCTTTAGACTTATTAGAAAACCAGTATTCAGTATTAAGACATCCAAATCTTGGAAATGTTCTTTACTCTCAGCCTCAGAGATGCATTTTACAAAATAAGAACAAGTTTTGTTCAAAAGGCCACAATGTCAATTTAAGTCTATGGGCAAAACAAAAACCCTTCCCAAAAATGAAAGGTGAAGACTCTTCAGTATGCATACCATATTGAAAAGTCTCATAGCATGTCCCAGACCCATTACATTTTCAAGCTGGTTCTCATATTTAATTGAGAGAGAGACAGCCTCAAACTCTCTCTTTCTCTTAGTCTTGAATTCACAATGACAAACCTACCCAAAGCAAGAATAATTTCTTGAATAGATACTACTTGTCTGATTAGTATGTTTGCTCTTGCTGACCACACAGTATTTATGACCATGCAGAAATTTATGATGAGAAATTTTATTTTAAAGGCATATATATCATTAGTCTTTCTACTACATTTCAGAGAAAACAAAAACTGTCTTAAGCATTTTAAGACATATTCGTGGCCTTTCTCCCCTACCTTCCACCAAAAATTGCATGACTATCTATGGCCTTTAATTCTGTTCTGCTTTAGATGGTTGAAAGAAGGAAACTATGGTTGTGCAGTTGGTAAGAGTATGTAATATTTTATGTTAGATTTGTAGACAAAATATTTACCTACTAAAGACTAATATTTTAAGTAGCAACAATCAATTCTTTACTCACAGAAAAATATTTGTGCTAGATAATAATAAATGCAAACACCTTTTAAAACATTCTTAACTGTGAAGTTAACTCAATATGCCATCAGTTAAACGTTTGGTAACACTGAAGTGCTAAAGTTTCTCAGTTACAAGATTTAAATATTTAGTTTTTCTTTAATCACTTAATCTGATTAAATTTCACTGTATTTCACTGCCTTTTCCCCCTCTTCAAATTTATTATTACATCATAAAACAATAAGAAGGCCAACTCACTGTTGTTGGATTTTGCACAGAAAAAAATGTGATTCAATTATCAAAAAAATACATGTAGGAAGGGGTCATAAATTGTTTGCAGGATACCTGACTCTGGACAGTTCCACATTATACTAGTATTAAGAGATAGCATAAAAAGAACGTCAGAATAAGTGAGTCAAACTTTACCAAAAAAAGTAGCATAATTAATTTTCATCACCTACTTGCTTCTGTAGCCATCATTCTCGCCTTCTTTGCTTTCTCCTCAGGCTTTTCAACTTGCTTCTTTCTCTCTTTCTCAGCTTTTGGTTGAAGGAAATACTTGTAGGCTGCACAAGACCAACAGGTGTGAGATACTCTTTGTCTTCTACAGCCCTCGTAGGTGAAGAAAGTTTCATCAAAAATGGTGACCTATCAGCAACGATACTTGCAGAAGATTGTCCGTGAGCTCCAAAATCACACTCACTTTCTGTTCCTCTGTGTAGTAATGTGGTAAAGGATGTAATTGGTTTTGTAGTTTGGCAGCACTGGAACTACACAGGTCCTGAAAAGAACTACCATATTTCCTACTGGACTCTAATTGCAAGCCACCCTGTGCGTTAACAGGTGGGTTTTCATTTTGGCCATGGTAAATTGTTCCCATACTGCAAGTTTCATATAACACAGGTGACAAAAACAGTCTCTCTCTGATATGCAAATCCAAACTACGTGATCTTCTGTGAAAAGGTTTTACAGTGCATGCATCATTTATAGGATAGGAAGAAGAGAGATATCTGTTCTGGTTTAATGCCTTTAAGGGAAGTTTTTTATTTTTCATCTCATATCTTGGAGCTTTTACTTCTAGACTAAGTGCTTCTGTTAATCTTCCAGGACCATCATTATTTCTGGCCATGTAGGAAAGTCCTTGACTTTTGATTTGCAAAGTTGCAGTTACCACTTCGTGGCAGGTATCCTTGCTAGAACCAGACTGAATTTTGAGGACAGGCAAATGTTTTCCTGATTATTTTGACAATTTAACAGAGAAAGATGGTTGAGAGTCAGTCTGAGTCTTGCAGAAATGTATATTTACTAACTGTCCACAGGAATATCTTTTGTTGCAAACAAAGTTAAAGTCCCCTAAGGAAGCCTCACAGAATGGACAGTGCAGTTTTCCAATTGTCCACTCTGCCTATTGACAAGAAAAGAAGAAAAATACCCATCATGTTCACTGAAAATAAATGAGCTATTTTCTCCTTTAGTCAAAGGGTGAGAGACTTCACCGTAAAAAGAAAATCCACCATAAATAATCTTCTGGTCAAAACTCTGCTTGCTACTGTTAATTAAGAAATCTGTAACACATATTTCAAAATGCAGGAGCTTTGAAATATGTTTAAAACTTGTCCATAGATAGAATAATGCTGCAATACTAATGAAAACATTAGATTCTTAAAGCAGTGAAATCAATTTGCCATTTCTTAATCTGGAATTGGCAAGCACAGTTTCTCAGTTGAATTTTCTGAATGCTGGAAATCCATAAACTCTTGCATACTAAGTACAGTGGAAGGAGATACCTTACAAAAAGAATATAGTTTTTCACTTTATTTACCGCACAAAAGCTTGAAATGGTACTTGTATCTTGGTGTATGTAGCTTTACAACACAATCTCTGTGCAGAGACCATGACAAATCCTTAATACTCTACATGGACACAGTTATTTTCATTATTTGTAATTTTATGAATTTAATTTCAATCCTGAAGGCACCTTTTCAAAAGAAATTATATGTCAGAAATCTTTGAACTCCTACATAATTACACAATTATTAGTACTACATTTTTACACAACTATTAGTATTTTCAGTAAATACAGTCATCTGTCAAGAGAAACACTGTTGAGGATTAAAGTTATGCAGGTGTTTGTAGAAGCAAAGACCAGATGAGAAACATTATCAACTCCAGTCACACTTTACTCACTAATGTTCCTAAAGTGAGGTTCAGCCATGAATACAGAAGCTGCCCAACATTTTTGGTTTAAGCACTGCTTTCAGTTGCAAATGGCTTTCAAGGTAATTTGGGAAGATTGATGACTGGTACTTGTCTGATTGAAAGCTACAAAAAATTTCAGTAAAACAAATTTTGCCGTTTCAGGGAAAAAAACCCATCAACTTGTGTGGAAAAAAAAGGTTATTTTTCACACACAATGCTAGAAAATCTTCTGGAAACACTTATCAGAGAAACTTACTCCTGCCTTGTGAGTTAAAACCTCAAAATTACATGAAGCACCAAAGATGTGCCTTGTATCGCACCTATGAGAATCTGTTTAAATCTGGACAGGTTTTTAACTTGGAGAAAAAAAAGATTAGTTGACATATAAACAAAGGCCAGTTTACATATAAGCAAAGGTTTTCAAATCCTTCAAAATTCCTTGAAGATGCACAATCTGTCAGTTTATAAGGCTGACCAATGTGTGCATATGCCATTACCAAAGACAAATTAAGCTCGTTCAGAGATTTACTCTCCAGCACTCCATTTTGAGATCATAGAGCACACAATCTCAGAATATGCTGAGTTGGGACTCACAAGGATCAAGTCCAACTCCTGCCCCTGCACATGCCCCTCCTGAAGAGTCACACCATGTGCCTGAGACTATCATCCAAACACTTCTTGAACTCTGTCAGGCCTGGCGCTGTGACAACTTTTTTGGGGAGCCTGCTCCAGTGCCCAACCACCCTCTGGGTGATGCCAGGGGTTAGGCACTAAAATTAAGGGAATAGCACTTTTCTTGTGACTTTATTGAGGTTTTCTGGCATGGAATAGTACCCTGGATTTCCAAATGGAGAGGAGGAGTGATTCATGAAGATTAGGGAAGAAAGCTAGGAGCCTGGCAAAAATGGGAATGCAAGAGACAGTAAGGAAGAAGGAGGACATGTCTATGTCCCTTATGCACAGAGACTGAGAGATGAGGTGTGGTACCAAGAAGCCTGAGACTGATTTAGCATGAATTTGGTAATGGACTGTGAAAGCACTGACTCAGTAAAAGAAGTAACAGCCTACCATTGGAGGAGGTGGTAGGGGAAAAATTAGCAAGATCTGAAAAGGAGCTGAAGGTACACAGATTTAATGTTGGACTGCATAAAGACGAAAAATTTGGAATGGTTAGAAAAAGAAGCCAAAACAAGTGATAAGTGATGGGGAAAAGAAAATACAATAAAGGCCACTAGCAGCACTAGGTATATATGTATAATTGAAGATTATCTATACAGTAATATGTGCATGAAATCCAAGGAGATCAGTTAAGAACAGGGACAGATGGCGAAAGAGAACTGGCTGGGAAGCAGTGGGTTTTTACAGTCTGCAAATAGACTTTGCGCTTATGTAAAATGATTTAGCTTTTGATTCAGGAGTCATACAGGAGAAAATAACACATGATCACAAAATTATTCAGAGCCCAGGAGGGCTCATAAAATCACAGGATCTTGCCAGAGAAGCCAGAGTTTGAGGCAAGAGTTTCTAGGATATTAAATGACAAAATGAAGACAAAGATGTTGAAGGTGTTCACAGAGAATTGTGTTCTCTGCCTTTTTCACCAGAGGAGCACTGCTCCTCTGCAACCTTGAGCAAATATGTCAAGTCTTTTCTGGGCAGTCTATAGGTTTTGTATTTCCCAGGTCTCCTAGCTGACCCTCTAAGTTTTCAAATGCAGAAGGACAGAATTCCTTTACAGTTAAGCATGAAAAGAATAATATTACTATCAATATTGAATCTAATTTTGCTGAAATAATATAACAGGTAAAGTACTGTCAAAAACTGCATCCTTTTGATTAAGGATTCATGATTAGGCAATTTTGCAAAGTGAGAAAATACCTCATGACCCATAATTTTCAATGCACCTCCAAGATTAATGTTTCTCAAACAGATACACCATTCTGTTATGCATCACAGAAGAAAAAAAGACTGCTAATTTTAAAAAGAATTTAATTAATGTTTAACAAAATAAAATGTAGAGCAGTACAATGAAGGAAGAGAAAACAATTTTTTTAAAATTTTTGAATGCTTAGTTTTACAATCATAACTTTTTTTTTCTTTGTGCATCAATTTCAGTGTGGATTTGTTAGAACAGAAGTTACTTAGAATATAGTAAAACTTAGACACTGAAGTCTAAGCAGAAAAGAATGCAGATGTCATTTGCTTATCACAATCAAAGACTCATCAAAGAAAATCTGTAGGGTAAAAGAAAAGCTTATTAATATCTATGCAAAAACATTAACTTCCAGACCTAAAACAACTTAGAGAAAATACTCAACTGAAGTAATCAGTACAACAGGAAAGTTATGAGATGGTTTGTAATCTCAAATGAGCAGTTCAAACTCAAAAGCAGTGACACTGGCTTGTCCTCAGACCTTTGAGTTTGCAGGATGGTATCTACTTTCTATTCATAAGACATAATAGCACATAAAGTATAAAAGACAACACATGACATTCCAAAAACTGATCTCTTAACAAACCCCCAGTCCAGTTTTATGAGGAAACATGTTTCTTACTGTCACTGTCAAGATATATGTTAGTACTACAAGATATAGTGAGCAAGACAAAGCAAACCCCAAAACCTAGACAATAAATATAATATTAAGCATTGACAAATATGCAGAGGTGCCTGTGACAGTTTTTTGGACAAACAATACACTCATCTATAAAGGAGCAGGAAACAGAATGTATCACTTTGTAGCATTTCTGCATACATTAAAAACAAAACAAATCAGCATTTAAGAGGGAGAAAAAAACCATCTGTAAATGGTAGTGATAGAAGTTACTGAGAAGAATTCCCTCAGCTATAAGATGTCTGTAACATACAATAGACCTTGGCAGAAAAGTGTTCTTGAAACTTGTTCCCCTTAGTTATTTCACATTTTGAATGTAAAGATGCAAGAAAAAAAAAATCTACCCTTCCAATGACACATTTCACCCACTCTGGAATGGCTTCTAAGTTCACATGCCTTACATTGCAAGAGTCCTGAGCAGCAGCTGAAGTTTGTGATGTCTGTTAAAAAAAAATTACTGTATTGATATTTAACATTCATGTGAGATCTTTTCCTTTGAATACAGTCAGAAGTCAGCTTCCCAAATTCAGTAAATATTAACAAATGATAAAACTCAAATATGTTTATGCATTTTTTATTCTAAAAATCAGGTAGATGCTGTCAATAATTCTCTATTTCTGAATCTAAGGACATTGGACAGACTCCACAGTGGAGATGTGGGTGTCTGGATGTGGTTTTGTTTTGTTTACAAGAACAGACAGCATGCATTACAGCTCTTCCAAGAATATTTGTAAAATTATTTCAGAAGCACTATCAGTGGGCATAACTTTCCAGTAAAATCAGAAAAATGTAAGTTATAGTTTATAAGAAGACTGTGATAAGTACTGCAAAAAGGACACACATAGTTTCACATTAATTTTCTAATGCTGTTTAGAATAATTAGCTGAGAAATCAGATAGTCTTAGCAACTTTAGAGTTTTTACTGATACGATGTGATCAACTGAATAGAAAAAAAATAAATCTAACATCCTATAGCATTTCACTAACTCATACTAAAATAAAAACAATTACCTAACTAAAGTTATAAAGATGGCTGAAAATATAGGGAAATTCTAGTGAGAAAGTCCTAAGAGCAGTTGTTAAATTTTATGAATATGGAAAATGTAGGCTCCTATATTATGGAATATAAGTTTCATTCTGATGAAAACTGAAAGTGGGACTATACACAGAAGATAGAAGCTTTTAGAAATTCTCCAAGTATTGACAGCAGACAGATAGGTCCATTTACCATGTCTACGCTATTGTCTCCCTCCTATCTGTGTACCTGTACTTCAATTTGGTTATAATTCTAATTTAAAGTGTTTATACTATATTTGTAACTTCAAAATTTGTTTTAAAATCTGTTCTACAATTTTTTAGCTGTGCCTTTGAGTGAAGGTCTAAAATTCATCAGGAAATCAACATATTGAAAATACCATTCTTCTCATCATAGTACTATCTTTGCCTCCCAACACCTTCAGATATAGTGTTAAAACACACGTTTTTATCTTCCGTCTACATAACCAGAGAAAGAGTTTCTTCAGTCTTGTGCACAATGATGGTGGATCTCCACTCACAACTAAAAGTGTCACCATGGGGCATGGACAAAGATATCTCCTTCTTTCCACTACTAAAAAAGTGGATACATTTTTTTCATTAAATGAGTTGCAATTCCCACATCCCTCCCTAAAAATCACTTCAAACCATGCACAAAAAACACCCTCAAGTATAAAGCATGAAAATTATTCCAGGGGCTCAAGCTCTGTAAGTGGAGTGATTAAAATTAGGTTTATTAATAATACTAATTAAAAATGATCTTAAAAATAAGTTTGTTTCTGCATCTACTGGTTATAACCTTCTCCAGTGCCAAAAAGAATGTTGTTGCATTACTAATGTGTTAATAAAAAACACCAAGACCTTCTTTTCTATTTGCTTCTTCACTTTGATTCAAGATTACCAGACGTAAGCACAGTCTTTTTGGCATATTTGGAAAGACTCCAGGTCCTTTTGATTACTAACTTCCATCATAAAACAGTAGAAAATACTCTGTCATAGTTTTATTCTGTATAATTATCTTTCTGGGTATTTTAAAACAGCACTGGAGAAACTTACAAACTCACTCTAAAGAAGGTGTACTTATTTCAGATAGTTCTTTTCCATTACATTTGGCAAGGCAAACAGAATTTGCTATGTAATTTCTACAACTCCAGCAACGCAGAACATCAGGCTCTTGGTTATTCATTTTTTCAGCTTGTGATATTTTGGCTCTGTATGTCAATCTGTAAAGACCACAAAACATACAATTTGGTCACTTGCTGACACCACTTTGTTACCTTGAAGTCTATAAGTTTTCTCATCACTGCAGAGGAGACTAATACTTTATTCACAAACATTCTTTGATCTTGTATAGCATACCACCTAGATGCTTTTAATAGTAAAGTGATACAGTTGGTTTTATTTCCAGGTTGCATAAAAGAATTAGAAAGCAACAACAACAAAACAACTAAAACCAAACCAAACAAAAGCAAACAAACAAACAAGCAAAAAACTTGTCCAATATTTAGACAAAAGACAAGGAACACCCTTTTTCCCAGAATATGTCCATAGAAATAAATCATTGCTATCCTAAACATTACATAAGCATACTCACATCTAATACCACATAACAAAACTGAATGCCAACATAAAACCATGCAAGACAAAGACTTCTTTTACAATATGCCCCTGGAGGTTTGCTCCTTAGAAGTTTTTTGTGTAGAAGGATCAACACTACTGGTGGCAACAGAGCTTTTCACAGACCTGTATCGACCTCCCTGTGAAGAAGGACCTAAATTCACAGAATCAGAGAATATGCCAAGTTGGAAGGGGCCCACAAGGATTATCAAGGACAAAACAAATGTTCTATTTACTTTGTGTCTTGCTGTGTTCTAATGTCTCTCTGGTCTTCTCTAACCTGTGTCCAAAGTCTTCCCTTTTTGTTATGCTTTCTTCAAAGGTCCTCCAGCTCTTCTTTCTACCCACTTCTGTTTTTATCCTCTTGTGCTAGCTACATTAAAAAAATAAGAAAATCTTTTTCATCTACATCTCAACTGAAGCCCTATACTAGTTATGCTTATTCACAGTGCTAAAGTGCACAGTGCTCACTGATGGGGAAGAATCTATACTAGTAACCCGTCTTGTCATGACAAAACGTGATGATTCAAACGTGTTAACTTAAGCAGGATATCTCTCAAGTTTTTACTACCCTACTTATGTCAGTGCTGCTTTCTGTACCAGACACATTTTAAAACTGGAATTCCTGTAGATCTATTAAAATTCTGCATGCATGTGCCTTTTGCAGTTCTTACTTCAGCGCAGTTCTTCTTGCAGAAAAAACACTACAAATGCATGTTAACACATTGCAGAGGTTTCTATTAGAGAACAGCAAAAGAGATGTTTCTGATTTATCACATCAACATTTATTCTATTTTTATTTGCACATAACTTCAATTGGAACTCAAATAAAAGCATATGAACACAGGATTTGAAGTGGGTTTGTAGTCAAATGCAGTTTAAGTGATTAGTCTTTCAGCAAAAAGTGCCAGCATAAAGATAGACGTTTTCAATTTGGAACTCAGAAAACAGTGTCACCCTGAGTAGGCTTTTCAGCTTGGCACTGGGCCATGTGTGTTGTGTCTGTACTGCTTTCAGATCAGTTGCTTTGTGTGAGTTCATGTTTGCCTCCAAAATAGCATGGAGACATATCTGAGTGAAAAAGCCAGTGCTCCTTGATGGATTTTGTTTGATGACCTTTAAATCCTTTCCGATGATTCAGGACCAGTAAAACCAGTAGCAGAGCCCTAAGACTTCTTTTCCAAGTCACTCCCAGTTCCCTTTTTTGAAAATCATTTGTCTAGCCTTCTCTTAGAGACCTTTGATGAAGATTTCACAACTTTCCAAAACTATTTCATTACCTTCTTATCTTTTATTAACTTTTTCCCTAACACCTAAACTATATTTTCCAGTAATTTCCATTATTTTCTGTGAATACAGAGAACAAAAAGGCTCCTTTTCTTCTGTACAAGACCATTTTACAACTTTAAACACTTATTATCCCCTTATTATCCCCTTATTATCTCCCTTATTATCCCCTATTGTCTTTGAGCTACATAAATCTTTCTCACTTTCCTCATAGATCATGCTTTCTTGGTCTCCAACTGTCACTGTTATTTTGTGAACTCTTTCAAATGGGTCAGCCATTCTTCCTGAATACAAGATGGATGATGAACTCTATGAAGCTTCACTAGCACTGAGGAAACTAGACAGATTATATAAATTTTCAAGGGAAAAAAAAGAATGAAGGATGCCTATTTATATCTAAAGTTCTTGTAAAATTCAAATTGCATAATGTATTAAGCTTTGGGCATTTCTTCTTCAAAAAGATTGCTAAAAAACTCCAGTTAAAAATTTTTGAATGAAAGTGAAGAACTAAAGAAAACCCTCTACATTTGTGTTGAAATTTTATCTAGAATTTCAACTATCTCACCCTTCATTACCAAATACATAAAAATGAGAAAATGACTAGAGTAGCACAAGTGGTTGTCAAGGTCTTTTTGTTCAAAAATTACCTGTGATCCCTTCAGAACAGTGCAGCCATCAAAATTACAATAATAATTAGGTTGCAGAGAGAAATTAGGGCACAGAAACTTAAGCATTAATTACCGGGAGTCTTGAAAAAAGTAGATGAGTGTCAGCTTTGAAGAAGCATGACAGAGAGAAGCTAGATGAGCTGTCTTGGCAAACAAGAGTCCATACCAGAAGTTTCTGCTTACAGAAAAGGAGAAGCTGACACTCCACCAGACAGAGAAACCATCACGGAAGACATTAAGGTACACATAAAAACTTGCTGCTGGTTTCTCATCTCCAAAGTATTCCTGCTTAAAGAAACACTTAAAAAACCCCTCCTTAAACAGTGTTTCTTAATAAAGTAGCACTTATATGGGAAGACGGAAAGAAAATTTAAAGAACTGTCTCCAGGCTGCCAAAGAAGAAAAACAGCAAGATGCATGGAGAGCTGTGCCATCTGCTCCTGTGCCAGCTCCTTCTCGACTATGAACTGTTCTACCAGTTCTGCTACTGTTGTGTGATGAGCTTCCTTATCATGGACCAGTAGTTGATTAAAGAGGATGGCCAGCGTGCGATACTCTTGTAGCAAGACTAACCCATGTAATTAAATGACAGTTAACAAAAAAAAAAGGGGGGAAAGAATGCTACTTGCAAGGTATTGCTTAACTTGCTAAAACCGCCTGCTGCATGATGCTGAAGTCAACAGGTCTTCAGGCACTCCTGGGGTGTGTAATGTATAAATAGCTGTGACAAGGAACCGACCCAGCGGGTCTACAGACCCACAGGATGGGCGCCTAGCCGCTTTCTTTCACGAGATCCCATGAGACCAGCACTGCCTGTTTCATGCTCTTGCACGTACAAACATTATCCGTTGCACAAAACAAAGGACGAAACAAGCAGGAACACGGCGCCTTGTCCCAGCGTAACGGGAGCTCCTGGCCGCAAGTCACCGGGGGCACCGCCGCAGCTGCTGCTGCTGCCCGTGGCCGCGCCCGCCGGTGCCCGGACACCCCTGAGCCCGCCAGGCCCAGGGGCGGCGGTGCTGAGGGGCTCCGTGGGGAGCGGAGCTGCTGCCGCCGCCGTGCTGGGCGCCCCCTCGGGCGGGCGCTGAGGTCTGCCCGACTCGGGCGCTCCGGGCAGGTGTCCCCACACCTCCGTGCTCACCCTGCACCCCCGCCCGCCCAGCCAGGGCCCGGCTCGGCCCCACGGGCGGCGGCGGCGCGTCCCGCCCCCGGCCCCACTCAGCTCACCGGGCAGCGCAGGGGAGGCGGCGGCGCTGGAGCGGGGGGGGATGGCGTTGCGCAGTAGCAGCTGCTCCTGCGAACGGGAAGAGACGGGAGACAAACGGTGGCGGAAAGCGCTCCGGCAGCGGGGCCCCTGCCCGGCCGAGGGAGTCACCCGGTGGTCCGGTCCTCCCCGGCAGCTGCCGCGCCCCTCGTCTCCCGAGAGCCTGGGACTCTGCTGGCTGAGGGCCAGCCATGCTGCCGCTGGGAGGAGGGCAGTGCCCGCGCCCTACCGAGCCCTGAGGGGGCACGTCCCGTCGCCTCCTGCATGGCAGGGATGGAGCTGGGGTGGGGTCGGCCCCGGCGTCAGGCTGCGACCGTGGAGAAGAGGGATTTGGGGGAACTAAACCAAAACCTTTCCATAGACACTGGGACAAAAACTGCGTTCTCTCAGGCCCTACATGGTACAGTAAAAGAGAGGAACCAAGGACATCAGAGGCACCGGCAGGTGCGAGCCAGCTGGCAGTGCTGGGTATCGTTAGTAGCCCCTGACTGTTTTAATGGGCAGCAAGAAAAAGGAGGAAGCTTTAAATGAAGTGGGGTGGGGGAACCAAGGAAACTTATGAATCATTGTAGGGAATTTCTGCGCGTCACGGAGGACTGCGTGAAGGAAAGGCAGCACGGCGGCCCCTTCGTGAGCGTCTGCGCCGCGGCAGCGAAGGGACACGAGCTGGCGAGTCCCAGCGGCAGTTTTTGCACCTCCGTGGTGTTTTTCCCTCTTGCGTTTTGCCCTCTTGCGGTGATACTGTGACTAGAACGAGAGATAACATGTCCTCGTAGCTCACAATCTGCTGATGGTTGCTGCACTTCAGAGAGTAAGAAAGGCTGGAAGATTACTGAGGAAAATAAAATTAGAGTCCGTTCACCTGTTGGCCTGTGGGGGCGATTTGGATGCACTGAAGCCTCCATTTCACTCTTTCTCCTGCATTTATGGGATATAATTTCTGTGATTTTTCTTGCATTTCAATGTATAACCCCTGCAGGTCAAGAAAAAGTTATATTGTCAGGTAACTATTTTGGACAATGTAGGATTCAAGGTAAGATTTGGGCTCTCATGAGGCAGAAGTGCACTGCCACCTTTTTTTTTCCTCTCCCAGAGCAACAATAGAATTTTTAATGATTTTTGTTTGTTTGTTTTGGTTTTTCCTTGGAAGAGAGTATAGTTTTTTCAGTTCCTGCTCTTTAGAATCCTGTTCATGTGAAAAGTTTTCAAACAACAGTGTGACACAAACATTTTGAATAACAGTATAATGACATCCATTCATAAAGTCTTAGGCCTTTCAGTAATTACAGCAAATTAAATTGCTTTATCTTTGTTTGTGCTTAAACGGTATAATTTGATGTGGTGTGTTTAAAAAAAACAAACCCAAACCCAACAAACAACCCTGTGCTATGATGAACCATTTTACCACTGCATGGTTAGAAAAGCTGTGGTCTTTATTTTTGAAGGAGAGGATTATTAGGAGCTTTTTTTCTGATAATTACATTTGCTGAGATGCTGTGCTACTTGTTACTTTTTCTTGCTCAATGTAGACCCAATAAAGTACATAAGTAGGATGCTTATAATAGTTAAATTCTGTTTACTCTGCTGTGATTATATGGTAATTATATATAGAAGAAACAGACTATTATTTTAAAGTAATTTATAGCGTGCTACAGCATGTTCAAATTTAAACTAAAAGAACTATTAGAAAAAGCAATATTTATCAGTTGTAAAGAGTTGGAGGTTATAGGGCACTTTTTAGCAAACTTAATTGATGAAGGTATATAGCAACAAATGGAATACATGAATAGAAAAAATAAAATTAAGTTTAAAATTACTCATTTAAGATTAATTTAAGACTTCACCTTATGACATAAACTAATGTTAAAAATATTAGGGGAGAGAGATTTTAAAATATTTTCATCCTTTTTGCTTCCATTTAAGTAGGCCGTAGGGTTAGACTACTTGGATTTAATGGAATCCCATGCTCAAGGAAAAATAGTCATGAAGGTGGCACTAGGGGAAAGAAATGAAGGGACTGTATGGCTTATGTCACAGCAACAGCAAATAGAATGAGGAAAAATTAAACTTTGCTGTAAGATTATATGTATTGTGTGGTTAACTGTATTTATTATCTTACAGACAAAGTTCACCTATGACAGGATGAGGACAGGGCAGCTGGACTGCAAGGTTAGAGAGGATGTATTAAGAAGGTTAATGGATGTTGCTTCTGCTCTGGCTTTGCGATAGGCTTTGGGATTCACAATAGCCTGATGCAGAAATTAAGTTCAAGGCAGGATATATATGATATGCTTTTTACTGGGATAACCCCTAAAGTCATGGTGAGCATTTAAAGGATCAGTGCCAAACTGACACACAGCAAGTCAGAAACCAGAGAGTGTCTTTGCTGTTCTGTGACAGGGATTGTATATCAGGAATACTATACTAAAGGCTATATGCAGGGCATAATTGAACACTGAAACACACTGAAGGGCTGTATTGATTTGTGCATATACTGTTTTCATGTTCATGGCACATGGACAGTATATCCCGTTCACAGGTAATCTATGGGCATCTCTAAAAAGTGGTATGTTTTCCAATAATCACACCAGGAATGCATTGTTTCCTTTCCAATAGTGTTGATGTAGCTGCCTAGGAAAAGGGATGACCTAATTGTCATTCCTGTAGAGCTCCTTTCTTTACCAAAATGTGTCAACTTCAATAGAAAAGGTTACATTTTCAGCAGCTATTCAGTAATGCACTAATGAATACCCTAGGCGTTAACCCAATGTTGTAATCCCTCGTTCTTTGACCCATTAGGCTGCTCCACTAGCTGGGATCATCTCCAAGACCTGCATATCTATTATTTGGTCATCTGTTCTCGAGGAAAATATTTTAGAAAATGGCCACAGAGGGAACATTAGAACAATTGACTGAAGAAATTGTTGAGTAGAACTTTTGGGACTTGATACTGAGCACAGGAGGAAAATTATTGTTGCCACTACACGTTTTGGTTTTTTTTTTCCTAAGCAACTTGCACACTTGAACAGATTTGTAATTTGGAGAAGCCCAGTGAGCAACACCAGCCTGTTTCACCCTTCACTAGGAGATTAATTGCTGGATAAACTTTGGTAACAGTAGGCACTACAGTAGCCATAAAGAACAATATTTTTACTGTATGGAAATTATCATATTTTTGTATTTCATTATCCTATGGAAAATACAGCCTGACTTTCAATCCAGCACATCATTGAAAAGCTTTTCTAATTACAGTGTAAATTGTAAGAAATGAGATTTCATCCCCTTACAATTGAAGATAATGGTTTATATTTGATTTGTATATATACTTGATTTGTAAACCAACTAACTTGAAGTACAGCAGTATGATAGGAAGTTTACAGAAGTTAGTGGTGGCACTTATTTCCTTTTTCATCTTACACTTCCTATGACAAGAAGATTATCCTTGGTAATAAATTTGTAATGGTTTGTATTTGATTCGTAAATTGGTAAAGTTGTACTTCTGCAAGAAATCTAAAGCCCATATAGAATATGCATCAATTAACTAAACATTTGCTTTCCTTTTACTTCTTTTTGAAAACCAATCAAATCCATCTAAAATTACTCTGTGTGGTGACAGGGTGGAATATAGTTAGGGAAAACATTTTTTAAGTCACTTAGGACTAGATCAAATAAAGGAATTCTTAATATGGTTTTAGCTTGTGATTGCTTATTCCCTGGAATGGAATCTAGAACTGTGTTAAATGTAGGGATTCTTTCTGTGCTTCAGAACCCCGCTGCTCAAGGAATCTTGCTGTCCTGAGAGAGGATAAAAGAAAACACCATAAAGAAGAAAAATAAAGTAAGTCAGTGAACCTGTTTGTTTGTGACCTTTGGGAGCTAGTTCCTAGAAGTAAAACTAAAATGGAAAAAAGACCTAAAGCCACTTCTCTCTTCAACTTGCTTATTTATCTCCCATTTCCCATAACTTGGGAGAACATGGTAGTTATCCAGCTAAAAATAAAAGCACATATTCTTTTTCTCCATGGTGGCATGGCTTCAAAGAATTTATGATCTATGGGATTATATGGGATGGAAAAGATGCCCAAAGAATTGTGGAGCTCACGTGGGAAAGGGAATTCCAGGGATTTTCAAGGATGAACTTAAGTGTTTTACACCAAGTAGGCATGTAAAATTACATTAACAGCCCTTTGAAGAGGGTTTTTTACTATTTTATATTTAGTTGGTGCAAATAATAAGGACATTACAGTTAAGGCAGTCATTGTAAATTTTAATCAGGACTTTTGAATAAGTTGATTCATTTTAGATTATTTGTAAAGACAAACAAAAGTGTGTCTTCCAGTAAAGGGCTTGACTTGAAGACTGAGTTTAGATAAGCCAAAGAAATTCATGCAGTCTGAACTACTCAGGAATTTGGAGAGGATATCTGAAAGTGAAGTTAATTTTCATTAAAGTAACAAGAATTTATATCCAAGCAGGGAAAATGCTTTCAGAAATAAAGCTAGAATGAAATGGATAGCTAATTAAATAAGTGTTTTAGACAGATCTTCAAGGAATAGAAAAGAACAGAAAGGAATTTAAAAATTACTGATCAGCAAATTTTTTGGTTTTTTTAGAATGTGGAATGGCAATTAAAACTGCTCAAACTGAAGCTGGATTAGAATTTGTGAAGAATGTTAAGAAAGTGCTTTGTGTGATTTATGTGCTATATGGGTGTACACTTGGAGACTGTTGGCAAGAATTTCTGTTATCAACTGGGGAGTCATCGAATGAAAGCAATGAGGAGGTAAAGTATTGGAGTGTATTGTTGGTCACAGATTGTCTGTGTATTAACTGTGTGATGTAGCTCTGAAAAGACAAGATTGTGCCCTGGACTGTGGGTATATTTCCAGTACATAAAGGTGAAAATCAATACTCTGGTAATTCTTTATTTGAAATAATGCAGGGAGTGATAATAATATTTTTTCAAGAGATTAATTTGGACTAGACTAGGAATGAAGAAGTAATACTAAGATGATAAAACTGAATAGAGTCTGCATTATGGAAAGACAGAAGGAGCTTTGCTTATTCAGTTCAGCAGAACAAATGCTGAGAAAGGTTTTTCTTGATGGGACATCAGTGAGGAAATAAAAGATTATTACAGCCTCATATAGCCTAGAATATGTGTGTATATATATAAAAAAAACAAATTAGGAATGAATTTGCCAATAAGAAATTTTGGGTGGAAATTGAAAAGTTGTAGTTGTGCTACTAGGGAGATTAATGGAAAAGCTTCCCAAGAAAAGTGTTGGGGAAAAACACCAACTAACTTGAAGTACAACTGTATGATATGAAGTTTACCAAAGTTGGTGGTGGCACTTTTTTTTTGATCTTACACTTCCTGTGAAAATAAGATTATCCTTGGTGATTTGCTACTTTATGACTGTTTCTCTGTGGTTTTAGTCCTGATTTCTTGTCCCATGAGAGGCATTGCCTTGTCAGTGCTTAATATGTATGTAAAAATAATATTTCTTAACAAGCGTAAAAATATCTTTTATATCCTTCAGAGGGAATGTAAAAGAATTTGTTTTTTTTCCCATGCTGCTGTCATTCGAACAGTTGGAACAGCTCAGCACAGTAATTTCTATTTCGTG